CCCCCCGCGGCCTCATCCGCGCCCCTAGTCTCCAGCGACGCACGCGGCGCCGGGGCCAGGCGGGGACCACTTACCCCGACCAGACCGTCGCGGACGCACGCCAGCACGCACGCGCACCGCGCGGCCCCGCACTGCGCAGATGCGTGCGGCCTTTGCGTCACGTGCGTCACGTCCGGCCGAGCCCACTCCGGTGCCGCGCGGGGCGGCCCGTCTTTCCTGTCCAGGCTGTGCTCCGGGGGGTGTTTCGAGTCGAAGCGCGCCGCGTCCGGGCAGCCCTGCGGCTTCGTGCGCCTGCGCGAACTCCCCCTCGCGAATGGCACCGTTCCCCGCCCCCCCCCTCCCGCGCACCACTGCGCCTCTACCATCCGGCGCCCGCTGGGTTTAACCCTGTCTGTGCTGCAGCCCGGTGGCGCGGTGCCGGTCCCTAGGGCATTTGCAGCTTGTTTACCCAGGCTTTCCTATGAAGAGCAGACTCCTTCCATCACTATCTTCTGTGCACTTCTGTCTCTGCATTGCTTCTCTTTCCTGGATCGCCTTCCCGTTTCGCGGTCCGTCAGCGCTCTTTGGTCCAGGACTTCCCCGCCCTGTCTCCCCCACCCTGGCCTCCCCATCGGGCGGCTCTGTGGAGCCTTAACTCTCACCTGGTACCGTCACGGGTATTGTTTTCTCTCTCAACGATGTTTTTCAAGGTTCTGATGCTGTTGTTGCTGCACCCACAGGATTAGAGCTAAGGCTTAACACATAAGCCCAATAAGTACTTAATGGGTTACATGCATCTACATCATGCTCTCACGTTTATTTTATTGATGCGTAATGTACGTGTTTTCCGAGTACATGTGCTGTTTTGATACATTATTATCATGGGGAATGATTAGATCAGGTCACGTGAGCTCTCAGGACATCATCTCCAACATTTTTCTTTATCCGGGGACGTCCAAATATTCTCTTCTAGCTGTTTTGAAATAGACAATAGGTTATGAACTGTAGTCACCCTACCGAGCCAAGCTGGAGTGCAGTGAGTGGCACGATCGCGGCCCACCGCAGCCTCAACCTCCCGGGGCTCAGGTAATCCTTTTCAGGAGTGTCAACCTCCTGAGTAGCTGGCACTACAGGCGCGCACCACCACGCTCGGCTAATTTTTGTTTCTTTTATTTTTTTTGTAGAAGCAAGGTCTTGCTATGTTGCCCAGGCTGGTCTCGAACCTCTAGGCTCAAGCAATCCTCCTGCCTCAGAGTGCTGGGATTACAGGTGTGAGCCACGAGGCTCGGCCCTGACTGTATTTTGTATCTATTAATCACTCTTTTTATCCCCCTCACTCACCCATCCCTCCCGACTACATCAATCTACACTCCATCTTCATGAGATGCTGTTTTTAAAAACTCCCCCACAATATCAGAACACAAGAGCCGGGCTCGGTGGCTCAGCCTGTAATTCCACCCTTTGGGAGGCTGAGGTGAGTGGATTGCCTGAGCCCGCGGGTTCGAGACATCGTCTCTACAATAAATCAAGAAAATTAGCCGGGTGTGGTAGCAGGCGCCTGTAGTTCCAGCTACTTGGAAGGCTGAGGCTGCAGTAGCTGGGAGCGGCCACTGCACTCCAGTCTGGGCGACAGAGTGAGACTCCAACTCAACAAAACAACAAAGAAAAGAACACAAAGCCGGGCTTAGTGGCTCAGTTTGTAATCCTGCACCTTTGGGAGGCTGAGGTGAGCGGATTGCCTGAGGCCGCGGGTTCGAGACCCGACTGGGCAGCGAGACCTCATCTCTATAATAAATCAAAAAATCAGCCGGACGTGGTAGCGCATGCCTGTAGTTCCAGCTACTGGAAGGCTGAGGCGGAAGGATCGCCGGA